AAAAAATTTGTATTTTGAGTCCCAAAGTGGCAATAAAAACACATTTTATTATATATTTTGTTTATTATAAATATTATTTATTTATTTTTTTTTAATAATTACATTCATATACATATTAACATATATAAAATACAATTTTCTATTTATCCCGTATATATGTTTGATATTTTTGAGAATTATTTTATATAATTATAGTATATAATTCTTACAATAATGAAACTCTGTAACAAAATGATTGAAGCATAACTTTTTTTTACACCAACTACAAATTATAATTGCAATGTTGTCTTCGTAGGTACATACAGATTCTTCTTTTATGGCAAAGCAAAATTCAACAGGATTATCAAATTTTGGAGGTCTATTAATATAACCACTTTTGAACCATGCATACTTAAAAGTATTATGATACCTCGGAGAAGATAACTGATTATGTACGAGGGATTGCATTTTTATGATAAAATTTCTTTCGTGTAAATTGATATTGTATTGCATTAAAATAATAAAATCAGATAGCTTTCTTACAAAATTCTTCCAGAATCGAAAACCATAAACATCCAAAGGCTAAATTTTACCTGTAGTGCCAGGCGGAATTGTCATTACCATTAAACTTACTTGTTCCGGTACAACTTCTTGTACGGTATTATTACATTGCCCACTCCAAGAGTCTAAAAGTAAGACCGATGAATTCCTAGTATTTTTTAAAAATACTTCTTGCATCCACGTCTGAAGCAGTTGCTCAGAAAGCTTTCCAGATGTAGAAGCTCGTATTAATACATTTTCTGGTGTAAATAATGTCTGTCTAACTCGAGGCCCAAAGTCTCCACTTGCTTCTTTTAATACTAAAAATAAAGGTGAAAGTAAATTACCCTTTGCTGATATAACAGGTTGAATAGTGTAGCTGTGTGTTAAGGAAGACAGTGATTGTGCTATGCTTTGAATTTCTTTCAGTCCTCTATAATTTAATGTTCTACCACTGTGAATCTCCAAATTAAATCCGCTCTGATCAGAATTATATACATTGCTTGCACCGTATCTTGTAAGCAATTGTTTAATTTCAACTCTAAAAGTTTCACGTTGATTTTCAATTTTATCAATATTTTTCAATAAATCTGTTGTAACAAATTTAGTGATTTTTCGAGATACTATATTATGTTTTTTTTTAAATTGCCAGATTCACTAATTCGATGCTTTGAACAAAGGCATAGCTATTTCAGCTTTTTTTTTGTAAAGCCCATCTTTTCAAATCAATATCATGTACAGTCATCTTCGATATCACAGCTTCATTAAAATTATTAAAAACATATTCTGATATCTTGAATAATTTATCATATCTACTGCCTCCTGCTTCAACTTGCTGTTTCCATCGTCGTAATTGTCGCTTGCTAGTTACTTGTTTGTATTTGTGCTTTACAGTATTAAATGAATAAGGCTTACCTTTTCCACTCAACCAAAACTTTACTGCTTCTTCTTTATATTTAAAGTCAATTTTGTTTTGCTCACATGAATTATTTAATTCTTCTAGAAAATCCTCAGATTCTTCGTTTTCCATGTACTCAATAGCTTCTAAATAAATTCATTTTCATCGCAAAAATACAATGTCGTTTCTTCTTGAACATCAACATCAGAATTTTCTGCATCCTGTCTTATTATTTTCTCCAGTATGTTGTGCAATTGCATTTCTTCGTCAATGATTAAAAACTTTGGTTCGCCATTATTGCTCTGATCAAATGTCATTGAAAGTAAGGTTGTTACAACTTTTGCATCAACAGGCATTTTTTAAATATATATAGTATCCAATATGTACGAATAGTGAAAAGTCTGATTTGAAAAGTCAGGCAATCAAATTCTGAGCACAGAATTTTCGATGATAGTAAAACTAATTATTTTCAAGTAGTTTAAACAATTTTATGAACAATCTTTTATATGAATTGTATATCTAAATGCATTGGCACTTACTGAATATAGACAGGTGTTATGTGATACAAGTACAATTTTAAACTAAACTCGACCTTTCATAAAACGTGTTTTTATATTTTTCCTTATGAGCAAAATAAAATAATATTATAAAGATAACAAAAACCGAACAACATTGTCAAAAATATCCAGTGGTTAACTATTGCGGCACTGCTTCCCATATTAGTATCAATATGATTAATCAATCGCGGTTTCCGCATTTGCAGTGGTCAATAAAAGAATAACAATAAAAAGTGTCTGCAAAACTTTTATTACTATTATTGTTATATATATAATTAATGCTGTCAAAATACAAAATTATTCATTTGGTGATAAGATATTATATTCATATGCACATCAATGTAATACATGGATTATAGGTATATAATACGATGAGGAACGTAAGAAAATCAATAACAATTCATAATAATACATCTCCTAATAATAACAATATAATAATAATAATAATGACAGAAATCATAATAAACTGTTAACTGGTTGATAATAGTTTTTTCAGAAAAATTTTTAATTAAAATAAAATTATTTTTTGAGCCAGAAAAACTGCGTAAAAATCATTTTTCAAAAAAATTTGCATAATATTTATAATAAACAATAGAAAAAAATTAAGAAACAAAAACAAGCGAAGTTTGTGAAATTCAAAAACTCCCAAAAACCACAGGTTTTTATTTTTGGTACCACTTTGGGACTCAAAATACAAATTTTTTCGGTAAAATTTGATATCACGTTTGAATGGTCTTACTTTTCCCCTATAATTCGAATCTGCTATAAGCAACAGTAGTTTCCATTTGAAATTTTCAAGTTGAGCCAGATTTGGGCCAGTTTTTGGAATTGGACCCACAAAACTGAGTTTCCCATTTGAAAGAACAAAAAACATTACAAAAGAAACACTGTACATCTTTTCAAGTGCAAAATACACGACTTTTACACATATTTGAGGTTATGTAAAACCATAAGATAATTTTTTTCGGTAAAACTAATTAATATATCTTAAAACATGAGTCTTTCCCTTCAAAATGAATTTTGAATCGTTCAGATATCTTTTTCTTTCACCGAGATATGATAATTTGAATTTAGCGTCTCGCCAACTTCTGCACTTCAAGCGTATGTAGATAATTATAATTGGCAACCCTGTTTTTACCACCTAAATTACCGTATGGGCCGCTGAAAAAAAATACGTGTCTAATATTTTTTGATACTCTAATCGTATGCAAAGTTTAAAGAAAATCGGTGACGGACACCTCCCTACCTTCTCTTGTAAGACTGTTTAATAGGTTTTCTAAACTCTGACTATTGCTCAGTTCATGTGTAGCATATGTTAAGTTATAAGTTTATATCTGCCTCAGCACCTCCATGTGTAACAAAATGTTGCTTACCGGCTGGGATTAGCAGCTGTGCCTCTCCGATAATTTTAGAACCTTATATCTAAACAAAATATTATCAAATACTTTCATCAAATTTTGAGATCTTTCTGAAATTCATCAGATACGTCCACTGAAGCCAGTCCGAGATCTGACAGATATTTTTCAAGTCAATCAGTACTTTTCTCGTGTACCCTTCCTTTCAGATTACCATACGTAGTGCGTAGTGCAACTTTATAAGAAGAGGTGATAGATCACGTTTGCAATATCGGATCAATAATCGAAGTAAATATTAAAGTTTTTGAGCTAGGTGCTGATCATATTTAGCGCAACAATCTCGATTTTAGGTAGTTCAGTATTCCAATTTTAATTTAGTTTAATTAATTAATTTAATCATGTGATCATTTATTTATTAATCACAAAGTAAAATATTATTTTTCTCTATTTACAGAATATTTGAATTATTAAATAACACAAATATATGTAAATAAATGTATATGTATAGATATCTATGTATATTCATCTAATTTCAATTTACTCTCTACATTTTATGTTATATGCATACATAAAAATGTGTCTGCATGCAAGGGCACTCTATTGCTATCTCTTTCTAATAAATTCGATTCTCGCGCTCTATTCGCGTATTCTATTTGTCTCATTCTATGCCCGATTAGCACAAAACGTTTTAAAAACGTCTTATAAACGTTTTCTGGTAAACTTTTAAACGTTGATGACTTTTAGTGAAAAAACGTTTTTGCACGTAGTGCACATGCGCAACACACTGGAAGCTGTATTAAATTTATTAGAATCATATTTCTACGATCATTTATTAATTTATATATAAAAGTTTTATGTGAAAAATTGACATATAACAATTAAAATTTATAATACCAAAATGATAGTATAATTTTTATAAAAATTATGATTTTTCGTTTGAAGTTAAAAGTACAATACCAATCAATTTTGTTCTGTAACTAAATTCGACAATTCATTAACAATATTTTAAACGAGAGAATGGTGGAATCGATAAAGTAACATAAGTTTTTGTTCAATGATGTTATTTTTACTACAAAATGGTCATTGTTTGTAAATTCAGAATTATAGGTAAATATTCTAGTATTTATAAATAAAGTGATATAGGTAAACATTCTAATATTTATAAATAAACTATGCAATTTGACCTACACACATATGCGCGCATAATCGAAAAGATTAAGTTGTTTAACTCGGCATTAATTAAGAAATATTTAGATTAAAAATATCGATGATAATGTAAAGATGTTTGAAGTGATCAGTAATAGCAATCATTATTATTAATTTTTTGTATAAAAAATTTTAATTTGATAAATAATTCTAATTTCATATTTGAATTGAGCAAATTGAAATCTGTCAAATAAAATGTTTATTTCTAATTTTACATAAATTATGCAGACCGTAACACGAAAGGTCAACCACATCAATTTGGCAATTTCTTTTTATGCTTACGCATGCGCTGTAATTAAAGTTCTGAAAAAGTAATTATTTTATTATTATTAATGCGAATTTTGATCGTTTGCAACCTTGCGAAAAAAAATTCTATTCTAAATAAAGTTAACACAATTATCTGTCGTGATAGAATTTCTATCATAGCAGTATTCGAGAAAGCAGTATTTACATTTTAAATTTCTTTTCAAATAATCAGAAATACAAGAATTTTTTAATAACAATTTTGTACCGTGCAAATCGTGCGGAATATTTCAGCATAATGATCTACTAATTTACATTATTAAAAATATTAATACATCAACTCCTACAGGCGTCAAGGTACTGCCATATCTAATAAGAAAACGAATAGTCGACAATCAACAAATGGTTTGAAAATAGTACAAGTGATCATAGATGTTTCTAAGTTTACAAAGTACGTCCCAAAACGAAATGTGAGTTAATTACTTTCCAATATCATGATGAATCAATAAAATGGATTTAGAATATAATATTGTATATTATACGATGGTAAAATTGAATTCAACGGAACTTGCAAGGTTATATATCTAATAATTATTTATTAAATTAAATGAACATTATCAAAAATCAATTTAATTATACTGTCTATCTAACTGTTATATTCTATCTGTTATACTTTATCAATATGGAATATAACAGATTATAGATATAAAGGTCAAACCAATAATATATTTTTCAAACAAAAATTGATAATAGTAACTACTAATTCATACCATTAAGTTATTAATTATTTTAACAACAAATACAACAAATTGTTATATATTTTATTTTGTTATTTAACAAATAATAAAATTTGACATGCTTACTTGAAAAAAACATTATAGATAGAAAATGTTAAAGTTTAATAAATATAATATGGTTTCAATTAATTAGATATTTTAATTTGGAACGATTATTAAATTTATCAAAATAATAAATCATGTATATACACAATTAGGGATTATGGTTGATCACTTTTAATTTATATATAATCAAGATCAAGGATTAAGAATAAGCTTATTTTATAATAATTAATTTTAGGTTTTGTTGGCTTATTGTAAGGATAATTTTTTGTCTTCTTGATCAGTTTCATATTATCTGTACATAAATATAGTTTAGTGGAGAATTTAAATTTTATTAATTTTTTAATAAATTTATTATTCATAAATATAATCAATCAATCCTCTTGAAATTTATTTTATTACTGTTTAAATTTATGGTATGTCAACTTTTTAATGTTCAAAAAATTACAACTATCTATTTAGTAACAAAATCATTATTGTATGGGTAAAAAGGATGGGTAAATTGATAATAATTTGTAGCTAAGTCCCATGACTTTATGAAATATGTATATTAGTTTTACAATAATCAAACAGTTTCTATAAAATAATTTAATTCATCTGTTATGTTGCAAATTAAAGAAATGTGAAATATTAATACATCAAATAATCATTAATACAACTATGAAATATTGTTATTTAGTTCACTAAATATAAGAACATGTTATATATGCCATGCAATAATATTTTCCAGATTGGTAATTTTGAATTTTTAGTTACATAAAGAAGATTTTAATATTTGGTATAGCAAAACTTACAAATCACGAGTGTCAGATCTTATTTTATACATTGGTATTACTAATATAAAAGAGTCTGATGATTTATATATGGGGCAAACTTTTCTGGCAAATATTTTTTAAATATTATGTGTTGTAATGATATTTTGGATTTCTTAAGAGTTTCAATATTTCTTACTTATTTGTGACCATTAAAGATATACAGTGTATATGTATCTAATATTTAAAGAATTTAAAAAATTGGAAGATTTTAAACAGTTGCCCTGTAATCTTGTATATGTATTTTGCAATTGTTTAAATAATATATTAGTCTTTTAGGTTATTTAATACATTTTTATACTTTATTAAGTATTTATATATATTTTTTACTATTACTATTTTATACATAATTATGAATAAATACAAATTGACAGAACTGTTAATCCAGGCTTTTTGATAAAATAAAATGGTCAATAACAAATGTCTTCACAGCAATAGGACAATATATCTTTGGTATAAAATGTACAAAATAGAAATTTTGTGCGATCTAGCAGAAAATTATTATTATCATTGTTTACCTTAAATATTTTTTTAAAGTCTTTATATTAAATGATCGATTTCAATGGCTTGTAAGGAATTTTCATTATATTTTTAGTCATTTTTCAGATTACACTATAAACATTAAATTAATATATATCCATTGTTTGAATACAGGGCAATGTCTCCCTTAAAAAGAAGAGTCATTAGATTTAATACTAATGTAGATTATAAATTCATGATTCATTGCTTATAATTTTGGCTCATAATTATAACTTTAATTGCCTAAAATTTTTACCCATTTTCACACATGCGTTTTTTAATATATAATCATTATATAATTATTAAATCCAGAATATATGTGAAAAATGTTACTTTATGGAATAAGATAAAAATTGTTTAAACAAATTGATAATTTCATAATGTAATAAGTCTACATATTGACCAATTAAATAAACGTTACTTAAAATAATAGGACTTTTTTTTGTTTTATGTCATTATTTTAAGTTATTTTGTTTTTTATGAATTTATTTATGAAATCATTGTTCTAGAATTAAAAAGCAATCAACTCCTATGTCCAAATTAATTAATAATCAATAACTAGCTGATGATGGAAAATTATATAATAGGTTGTCAATACAAAGTAATATTTCATTTCTGAATGCTTAAACAATAAATTTTCAAATATTTAAGAACAAAATAGTTTTTGAATACTAAAATCACAAACAAAAACAGAAGATTTTGTGATAGTACATCAATGTTTTTAATTAGACAATATATATTTTGTCAAAAATTAATATTTCCTTGAATGTAAATTTCATAAGACAAGATAGGCTACATATATAGTATATTTATATTTACATGAATATATTTATACGACATATAATACATAATATACTATCTTGATTCCCTTATAGTTTTCTAAAATGATAAAATTTGTTATAATGGAAAGAACGGAAATAGTGAGAGATGGAAATTCACTTAATTTTAATTATATTCAGCAACGTTTCATCAGCACATTTGCTGACCTTCCAACTCTCACTATTTCCCTTTTTTCCATTGTTACAAATTTTATCATTTATACTATATATATTTATACTCCCTGCTAAAATGAGGACATAGCTTTGGATAGGAGAAACTGCTAATTCGGTTACAGTCTAATTCTGAATCCCACTAATTGTATTAAAATTCATTGAAATGGAGTCATATTGACAATATTATTGAAGTGCATTAAATAATTTAGAAAAGGAATCTATTAAATTGCATTTGAATTTTATATCTATCAATCGCTTATAATTGAACTCTTTTGGTTTCGTTTTTGAATTTGAATTCGTTTTAATAAATTCTTGAAATCAATCAGTTCTAATGACTTTTTATGGGATTCAGATTTAGTCTTAAATTGGATTGATAATCGATTTCAATCCACAATAATATTTTTCTATTAGAATTAATACTTACCACAAGTAAACCTATCTATCAATCAATTTAAATGATACTTTTTTATATTCGGGCAATAAACTTTGATATCTTTTCATCCATTTTTATTGTCTGAAGAATATAATCCATTTTAATTATTTATGTTAGAATTTAAATTTAGTCTCAAACTGGATTGACAACGATTTCAATCCACATTAATATTTTTCTATTGGGATTAATACTTACCGCAAGTAAACCTACCTATCAATCCATTTGAATGATAATTTTTCATATTCGTCCAATAAAATTACTATCTTTTTTCCTTTTTATTTGAATTAAGGATACAATTGATTTTAATGATTATTTTTAGAATTTAGATTTAGTTTCTCAATGTACTGTTTTTTGATTTTATCTAGTATCTATGCCTGCTGAATTTATATGGCCTCAAACCTACCAATATCTTTCAATAATAATTTTTAGTATTAAGTTAATTAACTTCAATGTCTGTATCTTTTTTAATAAAATTAAGGATACAATTGATTTTAAAGACACTTCTTGGAATCCCGATTAAAATTTAGAATGGATGGAGTATTGATTTCTATCAAAAAATAGAAAGAGTAGATACAGTATTTAACTTGATTTTTTTTTACTTTCTCTCGCCGTCTTTTCATAGTTTATATATATATATATATATATATATATATACACATAAAGATTGCATTGAATACTCTTACTGATAAATTTTTTGCTAAGTAATTTGATAACAAGTATATAATACCTGTTATATTGTTAATAAAAATATAGATAATTAAATCAATATATATATATGTTATGTAACGGGGATTTAGACTGCTACAATATGTTAATTAAACCGAGAGTGAGTAGTGGCTGGCACATATGCAGCTGTTCGCGGCACTGCGTTTTCTGCTACGCAAGACGGGCCCGGTAGGTCAGATCGGCAACTGGCCCGCGGAGAACGTCGTGGGTCACGCAGCTTAAATCGCGAAAGTTAGGATAGGAAGGAAAGGTAGTACAAAAGAAAAGCCATGCAGTTTTGATAGTATACGAATATATAAAGTTTATGTACGAGTCAGTGTACAGGGCGGTTCAGAGAGAGCGGCGACATATGTAAAGCGAGAGAGAGATTTAAGGAACGGTCGGTACTTACATTAATCGAAGGCCCTCAATTACGATTCAGCACGATTGCAGAATTCGCCTAACTACGCTGTCGCTTATAACGAAGGATGAGAGGTATTGCACGCTCAGTTGCACTTCTCTCACTTATCACAGTCGAAAGTCTCTCTGTTGACTCTCAAAAATGACTGAAAAACAAGATCAAAGAATTTGCATCAAATTTTGCTTCAACTCGGAAAAACGAGTTCGGGAACTATTGAAATGATGCAAAAGGCCTTCGGAAGCAAGTGTATGAACAAAACACGAATAAAAGAATGGTATAAACGGTTCAAGAATAGTCGCACTTCTGTCGATAGTGATTCTCGTTCCGGCCGACCTTCGACGACAAAAACTGCAGATAATATTGAGCGGGTGCGACTTGCAATCGAACAAGATCGTCGTATGACTGTGCGAGAACTAGAAGAAGACCTTAGGATACCAAAAACTATCATTTCGGAAATTTTAACAGAAAATTTAGGAATGAAACGCGTGTGTGCGAAATTCATCCGAAAATTGCTCACAGCAGAGCAGAAGAACATTCGCTTAGAAATCGCTCTGGACAATCTGGAAATTGTCAATAATGATGATAATGTGCTTAGAAAAGTTATTACAGGTGATGAATCATGGGTTTATGGTTATGATCCTGAAACAAAACAACAATCTTCACAGTGGAAGCATTCTGAATCGCCAAGACCAAAAAAAGCACGTCAAAGTCGGAGCAATGTTAAGTCAATATTGATTATTTTTTTCCATTGTGAAGGTGTTGTACATCATGAATATCCACCAACAGGTCAAACAGTCAATAAAGAATACTACCTTCAAATTTTGAAACGTTTGCGTGATGCAGTAAGAAGAAAA